TCTCGCAGGTGGAGGTGACCACGTCCGCGTAGGAGAAGGTGTCCATGGATTGACCGCTGTGTCTCCCGTGGGGGATGTCTGGAGGCGGATTGCAGACGATACCTGCACGCACAAACAAGGTGGCTTTTAGCATCATTTTAGAGCCCAGTGTCTGCAGGACACGCACGCTTCCCAGGAAGGGAACCAGCGGGGATGAGACTATGTCAGCAGTAATGCTCTCTGGATATGATGACCCAGATTATCCTGAGACAAACTTTGTATGGGAAGAACCACCTGTGGGAAGGAAAAGCTGCGCCCTCCTTGCTGCCCATGTCTGGAGGCTGTGGGACAATTCTTACCTCCCTTTTCACACCCACTGGTGACACATGCAGAGAGAGACTGCCCACACCGATCCTACACTTGACCAGTGAGAGACACTTAACCCAGTAACAGGGAGTTTAAAACATTAATGGTTTTCTCAGTTTGGACCAGGATAAAAAAAAGAACTTTGGAAACATTTTCAGAAACATCCAAACCCAAACAGCATGAAAAGAAATGTGAAAGATTTTACACCTACAGTGGCCCTTTGAAATAAAATCTTTGTCTTGAGAGATGTACCACTTTCTTTTGCAAGCCACCACCAAGGGCCTTCTGTTGTGGCCTACTTACGCTGGCAGACAGGAGCATCGCCACTCCATGAGACACGTGAGCCAGAGACCTCGCACGTTCTCTGAGACTCGCCAACCAACTTGTACCTGGAATCACACAGAAGGATTTATTAATTTACGGTAAGAGACTCAAGCTTTATTTACAACCCTTCCAAGTGGCAGCCAAATTTCTGACTTGGGTATTAGGTTCCTTCATGTAAAGCTGAAAATCTGTTTCACTCACTCTTGGCAGCTGAATTCAGCCAGTCACAAGACTCACCCTTTGTCACAAGTGTAATTCACTTTGGACCCGAAGAGGAGGTCTGTCAGGACAACAGTTCTGCCGTTTTCCAGATCCCCTGGGTTAGCACATTGTTTCCCTGGAAGGGAATGTCAGCCACCATTAGTCCTCAGCTGCTCCCTCACATCCCACCCTGGGGGGATGCTGACACAGAGAGCAGACCACATAAAGTAAAGAAACCCTTAAAGCCAGAAAAATGGGAAAATCTAGCCCAGCCCAACACTTCAGGATTTTCAGCACTTGCAGCACATACTTTTACAGAATTCCAGTGCCGCAGACCAGGTCCGATTCCTGAGGCATGTAATGGTTGGTGGTATCCCCAGGTGCTGGGCGTACCCAGGCCGGCACACATATTCCACTGTCCTCCCCACGGGAAAGACAGTCTGGTTGCCGTACAGCTCCTTCAGCTCAGCAAATGCCAGTGTGGTAGGTGCATTGCAGCCAGCTACCGAGAAAGAGAAACCAGCCCAGTTGTCAAAGGAGTCAAGAAGAAGCAGATTTGGGAGGGCAGGGGGAAGGTTAACATTCCGAGCACTGTTCGGACACTTGCCCTGCTCACAGACTGGCACGGGTGGCTCCCAGGTGTTATTTAGTTGGCATTGTACCATTCTGTGGCCACGGATAACATAGCCTGGCTCACACTCAAAGGCAACAGTGTCCTTGTGTGTGTAGGAAGCCTTAGGAGGAGACACTATTCTCCCATTCTGGACCCAGGGGATGGGACATCTTGCTTCTGGAAAAGAAGTGCAGGTCCTCAGAACAGTCCCACAGTGTGCAGAGCTGTGCAGCTGCAAAGACACTTCGGGTTGCAATCCCTTTTAAGGCATAAGTCTGAAAATAATTTTCCTGTACTGCTCCATCCAGCCATGCCAAACACTGAGGGAGAGACCCAAGCAAAAGGTGAGGGAGGCTGGGAATGCTGGAGGCAGTGGCTCATCCTCCACCCTCTGCCCTTTTGCTGTGGAAAATCCCCATGCAAATCCTGCGCCAGCAACAACTGCAATTTTCTGGAGGTTTTCCAGTCTTTACGAATATAAAGCAATAGGGCCAGGAGGATTGCACTCATTTATTTGCTCATGCACACACAACCCTACCTCCGCACTGTGGGGGTGGGCCGCTCCACTCGCCGTTTTTCCCGTCCCGGGTGGTGCAGTAGATGGAGGACTCCCCGTGGAGCGGGTACCCAGGGTTGCAGATGTATGTTACAGATGTGCCAAAGTAGAATTCATCCAGCAGCTTGCCTGTGTGCTTCCCGTTGGGAATGTCCGGAGGCGGCTCACAAGGGATACCTGCAGAGGTGCAGAACAAGGCTTCTAAATGCAACAGCAGCACCAAAGTACGTTAAATCCCTCAGTCTGTGGGGCATAAACACTTGTCCTAGAGAAGGAGTAACTGCAATGACGTGACCTTCTAGTTGAGGTCTTGTAGCCACCTGGATCCCATCTCCCTGGCCAGCTGTTTCTACGGTAGTTAGAAAGCAAACCAGTAAGACAAACCTCTATGGAGTAAACATCTACACACTTTGTCTTTTCTGCTGTTAAAGAAATAGAAAGCAAATATGTCTTTCGTATTACCCATGTAAACTCCTGATTTTTAGCTGCACACAATGCAAAGGCACACACAGGCAGAAATTTGTATGTCACCTTAGGTAACACGTACCTGGAGAATCTGTAAAATGCTCTGAAGTCCCAGAACATGCCAGTAAATATTTCTTACTTATATGAAACCTAGGCAGCAACAGTACTTAACCAGCAGAGATACACCCAGGGGTAATTGCTGAGGTGCGACACAGTAGCTCTTTGGGTACACATCAGTTATTTGTGCTCGTAAAGAAAGAGAAAGCCTGCTGTTTGGGACTTTGGGATTCCAGTTCTGCCCCTCCCACAGCGCTCTGCCTCTTCTTAGGGTTGTGCCTAGGTCTCTGTGTGTAACAATAACGACCCTTGAGATGAAGGCAATATTTTTGCTCCCTCTCTTGCAACGGGCTTGTAATGTTGGTCAGAGACAGGACACCCAAGTACCACTGGAAAAGCTCCAGCTGAGACATTGCTTTCTATAATCCATTAAGCTTTGAGATCTTGTACCTTTTCCCAGAACATTTTCTTATGACATCAAAACCTTCTGATAGTTTTCATGCCCACAGAGTAGAGAAATTCCTTGTGAAAGCTTTGATTGGAAAGATTTGGCAGTCTCTCCTGGAAAATATTTACTGGATCTATGCAAAGCCCGCGCAGCTGTAAGCTACTTACGCTGACAAGTGGGAACGTCACCACTCCATGCAACACGTCCACCAAAAATCTGACATTGTCTGCTGGATTGTCCGATTAACCTGTGCCTGGTGTTAAAAGGATTGAACATTCATCCCAAGTAACTCCAGTGTAAGTTACTATCTGTTCCTCCACACCCCAGAAAGCAAGACCAGCCCCACTGACAGCAAAGCTGTGGCCCTGAAGGAGAAGTTCCCTTCCACACTCAGCACCACCATACCACATCACAGTATATATAAGATAGGGAACACCTTATATATTCATATAGTTGCAGAACTCTACAGAGTGGATTCTGTATATAATCCATTTATTGGAAATGAACAAACAGAAGGAAAAAAGGAAGACTCACATACTGCATCTCCCCTTGCTGTTCTACCCATAGCCAAACCCAGGACTTACCCTTCTTCACAGCTGTAGCGCACTGTTGACCCAAACAGGAGATCTGTTAGGAAGATAATTTTCCCATTCACAGGTTCACCAGGATGACTGCATTGTTTCCCTGGAGGAGAAAAAAACCTCATTTTAGGCCTCTCTCTGTCTATACTGTGGTACAACAGATGCAACTACTCCTCCAGTAATCTGCCCACATTTCCAGTTACCCCCAAACCAGGTTCCAAATAGCATAAAGTTACATGGCTTTACTAGTCACATAGTGTTTGAACACCAGAATGAGGTTAATAAGGTTTTTGCAGCATGGACAGAACCTAGCACCTATTCCTTCTTGAATAACAGACACCAAATCAAGGAGCTATTCACTTTTACAGAACTCTAGTGCTTCTGACCACACTCCGCTCTCAAGACATGTAATAGTAGGTGACATTCCTGGGTGTTTAGCATATCCAGGTCGGCAAGTGTATTGCACAGTCTTCCCAACAGAAAAATCAATCTCATTTCTATGCTCCTCATTTAGCTCAGCAAAGTGTAACCTTGTAGGAGCACCACAACCACCTATTGAGAAAGAAAACAGACATGAGAATCAGGCAGGACAGACATGCTGGGTACAAGCACAGAAAGAGCACTGTTACAAAGAATGGCGTTTGGTTTGGCATGCAAAATTGTTTATTTTGATTAATATTAAACAAACACAACATATTTTCTCAAAGGATTCCAGCGGATCAGGTTCTTATTCCAAGGATATACTTCAGTCTTACACATACAGGGTTTAACCATGTTTTTTAAATGGGGTTAGGGGACATAAAATACTAGTGTACCCCAAGGCAGCTAGGACACGATTTACCTGGAAGTTCAGGCTTGTTTGAGATTTCCTGGTAATGGCTCAGTCTATTGCAGACGGGAACAGGAGGGTGCCAGCTGCCATCTTCCTGGCAGAAGATTTTAGCACTGCCTTGCAGGCTGAAACCATTGTGACACTGAAATGTCACCATTTGTCCAGGGGCAGAGATAGGTCCTTGACCAGCAACTTGCCTTCCATTCTCTACGTCTGGATTTATGCAGACACTCACTGGAAATGATGAGGTACAGAAGAGATGTGCAAAAGGAGTCAGAACAGACCAAAATAACAACACCCCAGGCTGTTAATATTGCAACAGCAAAACCTACATGACATCTATATAAACCTCCCCATCCCCAGCATCACAACAGAAGGACTTGAAATTAATTTATACCATGCAACACTTCATACAGAATTATCCTTCTCGGAGGATCTGGTCGCAACGGTCAGGGTCTCCCCTTGCTC